ACAACGAACTGCTTTGTCCACATCTGAGCGAGTCATTGCGCAAAACGGAGAACAAACGACGCATTCTGTACGGCAAAAACCACCCACGGTCCACAAACGGTCCGCACGCAGTGAAACGCGTCGCTCGCTGCAAATCGCTGAGCAGATCGCCGCTTGGCAATGCAGTCTTGTCTCGAGTGCAACTGATTGCAGAGACGTGCCCACACAAGCGATCCAGTTGCATGCGACCGAGTTGTACAATGCTCGCTCAGGTTTAGGGCCGTCCATAAATGACGTCACGCACCTAGGGGGGGGAGGGGTCAGACATTTGTGACGATGTGTGACAAGGGGGGGAGGTTTGAGAAATGTGACGTCACATCAAAATGCGCAATTTTAAATAAATATAGACAACACGTTCTACTTAAATAGACTTTTTAATAAATGTTTTCTCCTACAACATCAGAGTGCAGCGCCACATTAAATTCGCACTACAATGGCAATAGTTTAAAGCGATTTGGGCCTGGCTTTCGAGACACTTGATGGAAACAGAGCCTCTAAGCCGTAGGTGAGATTGCAATTGCCCCTCCATGAATCTTCTACCTGCTGAAAGGAACAGCAGGGCCACCGCTATGTCAAGATGATACATTTCTCGCCTGGTATGGAGGATATCGTGGGTTCGATACCGACCCTGAAACCTGTATATTTTGGAGTTTGAATGTTCTCTCTCCCCGTGGTCGCGTGTATTTTTCTCCGGGTCCTCCTGGTTTTACCTCCACGTTAAGAATCGTGCGTTCAGAGTATTTGGCTGCTATCCATTTCCACGTGATACGCCACTTCGCTGAGCTATCATTTGTGGCCAGATCGCTTCTGAAGAAGAGCTATATAGCTCAGTGGGCCTTACCTGGTAAAATAAAAAAAGTTTTAGTTTAGTATCTCCACTGCTAACCCTGAAGCACAGTTGGAAATTCCACATTTTACGTGACGGGTAACCACGAATCTCGACTTGGCGACCACAGTTGCCTTGATGAAAAGTTATATTTTATCGCCACCCCCACGGGGACGATGTGCCAAATCAGCCAGTTTTGCAGAGTTGACACTGGGTAGCGCCTGAATGGTCAAGCAGCACGGATGGGACGGGCCTTGTAGATGGCTGTGGAGTTATGCTGTGGACAGCAGAGGGCAGGGCGGCAACATCCTTTGTTGAGTTGCAGGGTGCAGGCGAAGTGGTAACGCGCACCTCAGCAAATAAGGTAGCAGTAATAAATGCCCCCGGTTAACGTCGGGGATGCGTTCCCGAAATGTGCGATGACCCATATCGACACGTCAAGCGAACCGATTTACAGGGTAGTAGGTGGAGGCGAACGCTGAGAGGGCCGACGGATACGAGAGAGAATGGACGACGCCGTCAGCGACGTAAGTGTGGGGTTGAGGCGACGCAAATCGGGGCAGTAGCGGTGTTAATACAGTGACGACGGATTTGCGAAACGACGTAAAAGGGGGAGACGTAAATCGGGGTATGACTGTACTGATTTCGATTCTCGACTCGGGCGCTTTTCTGCGTGGCGTTTTTTGAGTTTGTACGTTCTGCCCTTGTTCTGCATCACGGGTTTCCTCTTGAGTTCTCCGGTTTTCTAGCGTAGCCAAAAGACCAACCACTATAACCCATGTTGGCTAAACATCCCTGAAAATTACCCAATTGTGGTTTACACACGGCAGTTACATCAGAAAATCTTCCCGCGAAAGCTTGACAGAACCCTCCTGAAAACCCCTGGCGACTCAGTGAAGTTTTTGTTTGTTGTAACTCTGCTGATGAGACACTGAATGTGGAAACCGGTCCAGAGTTGTGCTTTTTTTGAACCGATGCTGCTGAGATGATGCACTCCCAAGCATAGACGTGAAAGCACAGTTATTATTATCATCATGCGAGTTAACATTGCCCTAGAAAGCCAAAACAAAATACGTGAGGCGGCATTTCAGTTTTCTTGATTTCACTCCGCGAACGGTGGTACCAATGGGGTACCAATCAATCCGAAATTGGTGCCACTCCGCGATGTCGAAACGCAGCGAGGAGGATGATTGCGCCGAAACCCTGAACGCTCGCGGTACACACCGTAGTGGTGGTGCATCGTGAGTACAGCTCGTCGAGACGAGTCGATTGCCGCATCGCCGACCATCAACAGACTAACAGTGACTGCATCACGGACATTGTGCGAGACCCGGGGTCACTATGGTGCCCCGGGGTAAACGCCATGAAGTTCATTTGTTGATTTGTGCTCTGCGCACCACTGCCAAGACGTGAACTTGTGTTGTTGTTGTTGATCTGGAGACCGGGGGAGATCGACGATTGATGTTCGGTCGCCGCATTGATGGCATGCGTTGTGGGTTCTCACTTAACAACAGAATCAAACTTCGTATTTGTAGAATCAGAATATTTAACAACAGAGTGGGCCGCGTGAAGGCCGCTGCCATCTTCCAAGGCAGCGAGCCAACGCAGGAGATCTCCCGGGAGTTTGATCTTCTGCGAAGCTGCTCGTGGGTCCACCCTTAACCTGCATTATCCACTGCAGTAGCAGATGCGGATACCTGATGCACAAATCTATACTTAAAAATCTCGGATAGTGGGAAGATTCGCGGATTATAGGAAGAGTGGGGAGGCGGATCGCGCTTCAAGGGAGGCGTTGTTCTCTTGCGTTGCGATTGGGCGACGATGCCGATTCAACTTCGAGTCAACTTCGAGTCAATTAAGCTGTGGAGCGCAACGGATCCTGAGAGATGCTCAAACCCAGGGAGCCACATTGGTTGAAGAATAATAATAATAAATTCGACATATAACGCTCTTCATCCATACATTTGGATGGGTTTGATCTTCCACCAAGCTCATGGTCCACCCTAAACCGCATCCACTGCATAAACTGTGGCAGATGCGGATACCTGATGCACAAATGGAAAAATGAAAAAAAAACTCTCCAGTCATGTGCAGCTGTGGCCATGCAGAACAGACCGTACAACGTATAACGACGCGATGCCCCAATCCACAAATACGAAGGAGACATCGCAGCGATGAAACACTCCGCTACTCCTGACGCGGTTATCTGGGCTCGACCACCTGCATGTGACATTGCAGTCGCTGCTCCGCATCTACATCAGCAGGAGCCGTACGTAAGAAGAAAATGAAGACTACCAAGGCGCTAGCAGCAGCAGCAGTCACCAAGCCATTTGTTTAATCGGCGAAGTCGAGACTTGCTTCAACTCAAAGCTGGGAGTAGCCCCCCTATTGATTGCTCGGGGAAACTATTTAACCGGTGGCTACGAAACAAAAAGTGAATACCCGAAAACCAAAAAACAACACGCAAATGTTGACTTAGCTTCACGCTCGTGGAATGTGGATTCAGAGAATGAGCCGACGCGCGCGCTCGCAGTGGCGAGAGAGCCACTCTCTGGGCCGCGAGGGCTGTCTAAGGCGCCGTCATGCGCGGCGACCGCCTGACCCCACACCACGGCACGGGGGGGCTCTCTCCCTCTCGCCCACCCCGCACACGCCTCTCTCCATCTCTCTCGCTGTGTGTCTCGGAGTGGGCTGGCTTCTCGTGCCCGGGCGGCACTAAGCTGGGTTTGCGCGCCGAGCTTCCGAGCCAAAACAAACACGCGGCGATCAGAGCGAGAGATCTGTCGGCAGTCCCCTGTGCGTGGAGACGCACCTTACCCCGCGTCTCTACGACAAGAGGCGACCACCCCCCCCACCCCCTCCCGTGTGGTGTCTGCACACACGCGCGCTGGCTGCCACACGGGGTATTCTCTCCCACGTTGTTCCTGCTGCAGACACAGCAACCTCCTTGCTCAAGTGAACATTGAGGCATTGCTGCTCACCTCCCGTGTACAGCCTCGCAGCTAGCTAGGGCCGTAGGTGGAATATTCCACATACCGATGTTCAGTGGCTGAGTCATACCTACAAAACAACCGCTGCTGACTTCCCCCGCAACGTGGTACTCTACTCATTTATCGACCCCGGAGGGATGATGGGCTGAGTCAAACCACCAACTAGGATTTGAACTCAGGACCTTCCGATTAACAAAATAAAATGTGAGACAGTGACTCAGAGGCGCGAGGAGGAACCACAGGCAAGCCGGGAACTATCAACGATTGCCCGAGCTCTGTGGTCCTCTATATGTATATATTAAGATGTGTTCTGCCAATTAATGAGTTGTATATATGTGGGAAGAAACCGGAGCACCCACGTGTGCGAGGAGGCAACACTCTATCCTGTACAGATGGAACAGATGGAGTCCACCTTTTTCTGTACCGCCTTCACCTGGCATAGCCAGGGTCACGGACCCTCTTTGACGCCCACGCGAAGGAAGTTTCACGAAATCTGTGCGCGCGATCCACCAACCCTCGCTGCTGCCTCCACAGCGCAGAGCGATTGCGAGCCACTTGTTGCAACACTGAGTCGCCAGGCCGGCTCAATGCTATATACATCCTGGAATGTGTTTGAACTGTGTATATATAAAGGAGCAACCACATTCGGCACCATGACTGCCACACTCCAGACTATATGCAGGAGGCTCGTGTTTACACAAATGCCCCTTCTTAAAAAAAACTACAACTAAAAAACTATTCATTTTATTTTTATTTAGTGTTAATCGCAACCTCCAACTGTAACGTCAGCTGATCCCTATGGAAGTTTGGGACAAAGTTTGGAGCAACAGTTCCAGCCACATACCAAATTTGACCCAACGTTGGCATGATTACCAAGTCTCTGCCAGATGTCAGCTCTGACGGGGCGCCACGGTTGAGAAATGTTAACCCTTTCGCCTTGTATACAGGAGATTGTGGATTCGATACCGACCCTGACGACGATATATATTTGGAATTTGCGTGTCTCTCTCTTCGTGGTCGAGTGGATTTGTCTCCGGGTCCTCCGGTTTCCCTCCACATTGAGAATAAACATGCGCTTTGAGTAATTGTCTGCTATACATTTACACAGTTTAAGCCACCTTGTTGAGCTGCCATTTGTGTCCAGGTTGCTTCTGAAAAGGAGTTATAGATCTCAGTGGGCCTTAACTGATAAATGTAAAACAAGTTAAAATAGTAATAGTTTAAAACCACACGAGGCTGCGCTCAGCGCAGCGCCCCGTGCGTGAACTGCCCAGCGCTCTGCGCCTCGTCGCGAGCGTCACTCTCAGAGACTCGCGCTGCTGTTGCTGCTGTTGGTGTTGCTGCTGTTGCTGCTGTTACTATGAAGAGGCGCCCGCCAAGCCACGCGACGCTCTCCACGCACACTCACTCCCGCCGAGTGGCTTGGCTCTGCCTCTGGCCGATCTCAGGTGTGTCGAGGAGGCTGAGTGCGTGGGGAGGTGGAGGGCGTGAATGTGGCAACTCAACGGGGGGGCGCGATTGGTCGGAGAGCTGCCCCCGTCCGCCACCCCCACGACCACCTCGCGCAGGCGAGACAGAGCCACAGGTGTGTATAGTAACCTATGCTTCCTGAATCTCGGAGACTCAACTGGCGGAGAACCCAACCTTCTCTCGACTCCAGACAATGCGCTTACATCCCAAGGCGGCCAGGTAAGGAGAAAGAGCGGGGAGCGGCAGGGGAGGAGAGATGGAGAGGGTGGGGAAGTCGGTGATTGTAGGGTACGAAGGCGATTTGGGAGAGAGACAAACAGAAGAGGGAGGAAGAACGCGGACAGCGAGACTCAGAACCGCAGTCAGGGGCAGGAAAACAGAGGCGCGGATTGAGAAAGAGACGCAAACACAGAGACGGAGAGATGCAAGAGACACGGATATTAATGAGTGATAGCGACCTGTCAAATGTGCCGCTGGTTTCGGATAGACGAAGCGTCTGTATAAGTACAAAGGAGTAGCGATCTACATTCCAGCAGAGACCGGGAGCCAGAGGGGTCACGGAGACGCGGGGGAGCCGGAGGGGTCACGGAGACGCGGGGGAGGCAGAGGGGTCACGGAGACGCGGGGGAGCCAGAGGGGTCACGGAGACGCGGCGTGCGGGGTGGAGGCAGCGCGGTGCTTGAACCGCGCTGCGTTGACGAGGCGGCGTGTGGGAGCGCCGCGGAGCGAGCCAAGCCCGCGAGCACTCCGCTCTGTGGCGGGGAGGAGGCGTTTGATAGGCGAGGAATGCAAACCCAGTTCCTGTCCAGGCTGTGTGATCCTGGGCATGACGAGGCCGTTGCTTTCAACTTTAATTGTTGTTGTCAACTCCGTGAACCCTCGTGGAGCGCTATTTCTCGACCGTCAATGTGTCCTTCACGCTTTGTTCTGAAAAAGGAGCACTGCCCGAACCACCGGCCTTCCTTTTACTTAACACTTAGGTTTGTGCAGCCGAAGTTAATCGTAACACATTGTTCGGGTTAGGCCCAAATCTTTATCATTAAGAACCCTCCACCACCCTACACGGCCAAACAAATTGTCGCGTGTATAGGCGGTCAACGGAGTTCTCTTTGAGCGACTTTCATTGTCTCGAGACACCACTGACTAAACGTGTGCCTCGTGAGACCCATGCAGCATTCACAGGTGACTATTGCGCAGTTTAGTGACTGCCTGCACAGATTAGTGGTTATGGGTGGCACTCAACTGCAGCTGATGTCACCCCCCACCCCCCTGGGCTATTGGGGTCAATTCTTCATTCTCATTTGCAGGGTTCAGTCTTCCCAAACACGTTAAACCGTCGCTCATGTTGTCCGGGTATCCACCAGCGTGCCAATTATTATTGTCAGCTCTCTCGCCTGTGAGCGGGTGAGTGAGTGGGTGAGTGAGCGGGTGAGTGAGCGGGTGAGTGGGCGGGTGAGTGAGCGGGTGGGTGAGCGGGTTGGTGAGCAAGCGGGTGAGCGAGCGGGCGAGCGAGCGGGTGAGTGATTCTCACAATCAGATGCGATGTGGGGGTGGAAACGTCGTGTCTAACCACTCATCATGTGGATCTGCTCAGAGATCATCGCATGGCTTCACCCAAACAATGTATTATGAATCAAGGCAGTCATATTCTATGGTTCTTTCGGTAAAGTCACGTAGAAAGAAAAAAAATTATAACAATAAAATAATAAAAATTAAAATAAAGTGAATAATAAATAAAAATATCACGACGTTTCGATTGCAACACAAGCGGTCGTCAAAATTTGTATTTTCTTTTCTATCTACGTGACTTTACGGAAATAACCATAGAATATGAATTCCTGCAGTCACGAAAGTTTTAAGTCAAAATCACATACAGAGGTGGGTAGGTGCCTCTAGATACAGCGATCGACTCGGTCAGAGATAATCCAACAGGGTTAAATGAAATAACTACAGGAAATCTCTTACCCCCCCCCCCCCCCCGCGGTGATACATGGGGGTCAGTATCGGGGATCCTGTTATCCGCGGGGTTTCTCTTTGATTTTACTCCTTTTATCCGCGGGGTAAAACTTTACAGATAACTAGCGCAGAATAGGAAGAGACAGGTGCGCGAATAATAGTCCTCGTGTACCGTTTTGAGCAAAATCAAAGGTGGGTCTCCTCTGGATGGATTGGGCCTCGGCACAGGAATGTGGAATTTCCATCACTAGCTCATTTAGAATAGGGGCACTTTCATGATTTTATTCCATAGAGCCTACATTTGTCAAAATGCGTAATGAGTCCACGTTAAACTAACTTCAATCAATTTGCAGCTGCATTTTGTGAAACATCTTTACCAGTCGTGGTCAATCCGCTGCTGGATCCGCGCAGCACCTGCGAAGCAATCCAATTTAATTTCCGCTCCGTCTCCTGGGTGTCGGTCCGCTCCGTCTCCTGGGTGTCGATCCGCTCCGTCATTGCTGCTCCGCTGTTGTTCTTCCACTTGACCGTCGGCCATCGCCGTCCCTCTGAGCCACGACGCTTCCGCTGCCCAAGCCGCCGCTTGCGAATCGCCGAGTGAATTGCGTAGCCACAGAGGAGTCTGTCTCTACCGCAAAGCGGCGTTCAAAAGAACCGGGCGCCATGGTGGCGAGATGTTAACTACCTCGACTGGTATGCAGGAGGTCGTGTGTTTCTGGTCCTCCGGTTTTCCCGCCACATTTAGAAGCATGCGTTTAGAGTATTTGGCTACTATAAATGTCCACATGATAAGCCGATTGAGCTATCGTATGTGATAAGCAGGTCGCTTCTGGTAAAATGAAATAGTGAATAGGAGTCAATAGAACTCAACACATCCATCAATTACGGCACTGTGGCTTTAAAATAAAAACATATAACAGGTGCCGTTTCTGGCCATTGTCATTCTTCACAGCAAAGAAGGCCCTCGTACATTGTTTCCTGTAAGGCCATAGAGATTCATAGACTCACATAGAGATTCATAGACTCACATAGAGATTCATAGACTAAAAAAAAGATTAATAGACTCACACAGAGATTCATAGACTCACACAGAGATTAATAGACTCACATAGAGATGCATAGACTCACACAGAGATTCATAGACTCACACAGAGATGCATATACTCACATAGAGATTCATAGACTCACACAGAGATTCATAGACTCACACAGAGATGCATAGACTCACATAGAGATGCATAGACTCACACAGAGATTCATAGATTCACACAGATATTCATAGAATCACATAGAGATTCATAGATTCACACAGATATTCATATACTCACATAGAGATTCATAGACTCACATAGAGATTCATAGACTCACACAGATATTCATATACTCACATAGAGATTCATAGACTCGCACAGAGATTAATAGACTCTCATAGAGATTCATAGACTCACAGAGATTCATAGACTCACATAGAGATTCATAGACTCACACAGAGATTCATAGACTCACATAGAGATTCATAGACTCACATCGAGATTCATAGGCTCACATAGAAATTCATAGACTCAAACAAGATTCATAGACTCACACAGAGATTAATAGACTCACATAGAGATTCATAGACGTGACGAGATTTGTTGCCAACGCAGCAGCATCGCTAGATGATGAGTTTTTAATTTACCAGGTAAGGCCCAACTGAGCTCTGTAGTTATATTTCAGAAGCAAACTGGCTATCACAATTGATAGCTCAATGAAGTGGCTTCTCATCACGTGGAAGTGTATAGCAGCCAAACACTCTAAACGCGTGGTGTTGATTTTAAACGTGGAGGGAAAAACCGGACCCAGAGGAAAATCCACGCGACCACGGGGAGAGAGAGACACGCAGACTCTAAATATACAGCAGCAGCAGGCATAATCAGGGTCGGTATCGAAGGGTTTTTTTTTTAAGCGCCGTGATCACTGCGGCGGCGTGGTCCCAACTTGAGAGCGACGACGCCTCCGCACTCAAGAGCTGATTTTTCCCTGGGTCCTCCGCCTTTTCCCTCCACATTTAGAATCAATATCACTTCTTCAGAGTATTTGGCTGCTATACATTTCTACATGATCATCCACTTTGTTGAGCTATCATTTGTGGCCAGATCGCTTCTTAAAAATAACTATGTAGCTCAGTGGGCCATACCTGGTAAAATTAATATGCTGAAATAGTTAAATAGAACGCATAACCTCTGGATGGCAAGTCCAGCGCACTGCTAACCGCTACATCTACTGTGGCAGCTGCTCCCTGCGTACGTGGAGATTCTCGCCAAATCCCAAACAGCATCGCTCGCTCGGTCGAGCCACAGGGCTCCCAGGCATGTGGCAGTGACATTAAATACTTTGCAGTCATAATTTAATTTCATAACTACATTCGCAACGCGAATGAATTTAACTTCAAAGAACATTCAGAGGCATGGGAGAATACATTAACAAGAGAGGGAGGGGAGTCTTGAATTTCGGACAGAAGTGGCGATGCCGATGAGCGGCACAGTGAGACAGGAGGAAGGAGTGAGTTTCAGACGGCAGGAACTGCGACAGGGTCTCTGTGTGAGTCTGTGAGTCTCTGTGTGAGCCTACGAGTCTCTATGTGAGTCTATGTGTCTCCATGTGTGGCATTGGGCATTAGTCTGTGAAATTACTTCCAGACGATGGGAGCAGCGACAGAGAAGCGACGTTCACCTCGTCTGGTTCAAGAGGCTCGGGCCTCGACGAGGAGGAGGCCAATCGGAGGTTGCCCCATCTTGACCATCATCGTCGTAGTCATCACGAGAGATCTATTTCTGAATATATTTTATTTATCGAGCTTCTCGTGGTAACAGCCCCGGACGGACGATACCCGCCACCACTTTGGGAGGCTGCTGCCGCTCTCTGCGAGGACGTTCACGGCTCGAGCGGTGAAGCTGATTCACGCTCCCTACCGTCGTGTCAGCTCTATCGGTTTACGGAGCTTGTGAACAAGCGAGCAAGCGGCCGTGTCAGCGTTGTCAGTCACCTGCGCGTGCGTGCCACCGAGCCGTATCAACGTTGTCAGTCGCCGCTCCTCTGTCGTCCACGGTGGTGCAGACGGCAAGGCGCCGACTCGGCGCTGTGTGGCTGGAAGACTCAAGACACCGATGCCGCAGGTGAGATACAATCAATGCCCTCTGGAGTTGTGGCGAAGGGGCAGCAACTCCAGAAGTTGCTCGCTCGTGCCACTGCTGGCAAAAGGGCCTCCGCTGGAGGGATCGCTCGCGTGCTCCCTCTAGGGAGGGTATAGCAGTCGACTCTCCCACGCCGGCCAGACGCGTTGCAAGAGGTGGCAGTACTCACGCTTTACCCCATCGCACGTGACCTGTCGATGCGCTAAATGTGGTGAAGTCACGCTGCTTGGCCAGGCAACTGTAGCAATAATAATTATCACTGTATTCTACATACAGCGTCGTATCTCAAAACGCTGAATACCGCAAACCACATGAACGTAAAAAGACGGCGTGAGTCACTCTGCGGAGACACCAAACGGACGCGGCGCAGGGCACGGAGGAGCCGCGTGGGGCGACAGCCAATGGGTGCACACGGAGATACTGGGCAATGTTGCCGCGTGGCGCAAACGGCCGCTCGCATAACACAAAACGAAAATGGCAATAGTCAAGAATGACTTTCCAGAATAAATAAATGAAATGTAACTACAGTCCGTGTTCTCTCTTGCTAATTGACGATGACTCGATGGCCAGCCCTCGCCCTAGCAGATCGAATCACCACTGCGCAGGTGCGGCTCAACCGCCTGGCTGCTACTGCTGCTTCACTTGATTGGCTATGTACGGTGCGAAAGAAGTTCAACATACATACACACATAGACTCACACAGAGTCTGATAGATTCACACAGACCCATAGACTCACAAAGAGACCCATTTATTTAGAACAGTTTTTTTTGTTTAGTTTGTTGTCCTTCCCCCGCACCTATGATTAGCACGGTTGGTTACGTACGGTGCAACATAAGTTAAACATACAATGGTTGGGGGGGGAATCGCGAATTCCAAATCCTTGTCCAAGGTGGTTATTGAAAATCCGATGCCACCATTTAGTTCCACCGCCTTAACAGCCCCCCGCCCAAGTGGAAAGAGCACCCCAAAGCAACGTCTCATGCCGTCGCCTCTCCCTCCAAGCGAGCGGTTCGCAATCGCAAAGTTGCGGGTTCATAATAAACCCTGAGTTGGGAGGCGTCGACTCAGCCCATCATCCCACTGGGGCCGACAAAGCGAGCGCCGCTCCGTAGGAAGTCTACAGTGGCTGTTCCGTGGAATAACTGGCCCCACCATTGGAATGTGGAATTTTCACCACCGACACTTAGAGAAAGAGCAATGCGATAACCCATCGGTGGCATGTGCACTAATGGGAAGTGCAGAGCATTTATTCTGGCTGAGATGGCCTTGGTAAAGCTGTAGCTGGATTCAGAGCGAGCGCCTGGCACGATGTGATTCTGTTGTTGTTGTCTTTGTGCAGGGATTGAACAGTGGAGTTGGCACTGTCGCAGTGAAAGAAGATCGCTGGGTAAGGGCTTTTCGTGTCGCGCGTCATTCGCAGAGATTTAAAACAGAGTGAGAGTCGATGACGGATATGGCACGGCAACAGATATCATGCTACACGTAAACTATTACAGCATTTTATATTCGCAGGTTAGGCCCACTGAGCTATGCAGCTCCTTCTCAGAAGCGACCTGGCCACAAATGATAGCTCAATGGAGTGGCTTATCATGTGGAAATGTATAGCAGCCAAACACTCTAAACGCGTGTTTCTAAATGTGGAGGGAAAAACCGGAGGACCTGAAGGAAATCCACGTGACCACGGGGAGAGAGACACGCAAACCCCAAATATACAGCGGGCGTCAGGGTCGGGATCGAACCCAGGATCTCCTGCATACTAGGCGAGGGAGTTAACATCTGGCCACCGCGCTACTACTGAAATTATCGTGATTAGTTTGTTGTCCCCCCCACCTCCGATTCGCACGGTTAGCGACGTACGGTGCGAAAGAAGTTCAACATACAACCATAATGGAATGCAATGGGCATTACCCTCTGTACTCTTAACGGTGGGTAGGGAAGTGTTGCCCCCTAAGGGTGGATACAATTCCACTCCAACAAGAAAGTGATAGGGTCAGTTTAATACAAAAAAACAGGGTCGACCTAATTCCTGCACGAGAAGGCTTCTCTGAACAAGCGGAAATCACGCTGGGGTCTCGCGTGCAGTGAGCCGGCTGGGCTAAGCATGACCACAGAGGACTGCTGTTCATGTACTCATCGACTTACGAACATTTGACATACGAATGTTCAGAGATGCGTACAAACCTGTCCGTATGTCCAGTTGCCCGTTCGGACCGAGAGTCGTAAGTTCAACCGCCGCGCAATAGATGGCGGTAGTGGCATCTACATCTGCAGAACGTGAAGAATCAGTGGCATCTACATCTAACAGGAGATTATGCAACTTTTAAAGCCATTCCCCGTGTTAAGTGTACATGTTTGGAATCGACAGGAGTAAAGTTGGACTTGCAAACCTAACTCGTTCGTAAGTAGAGGAGTCCCTGTACAAACACGTCCCGCACCTCCAATCAGCACGGGTGGGCTACGTGCAGTGATGCGAGAGAAGTTCAACATATGCTATGTACGTACATGGGTGAGGACGCTTTTTTATTTCGCTAAATTTCGCATCGCACCCGAAAGTAACGCGTGCTTCGCACTCAGGAAAGTAACGCGTGCTTGATGAAACACTCGCGTTGCCCCCTCACATACACGTGAGACAATTGATGGCCTCACACCACCCCCTTAAAGTCCAAGGCTCGAGGACATCATCCGCTTTTGTATTTCCCTAGGTACAGGAACACCCCGATTTATGTCTCCCCCTTTTACGCCGTTTCGAAAATACGTCATCGCTTCATTAACACCGCTACCCAATTTGCGTCGCCTCAAACCCCACACTTACGTCGCTGACAGCTTCATCCGTCGCCTCTCAGTCGTTTGGATATATCCGTCGTTGCCACTATCATTGATGATTTAATATCCATTGACAAGCGGGAAGGCAGCCAGGCAGTGAGCTGGTGCCAACAATTTCCCAAGCTCTCCATTCCTCTACATATTAATATGTTTTAGCCAATTAATGAGTGCTTACATGTGAGAGGAAACCAGTGCACCCGGAGAAAATCCACACGTGCGAGGGGGCAACACTCTATTCCATGCAGACGGAGCAGGTGGAGTCCACATTTGTTGTTGCTGTACCGCCATCGCCTGGCGAGCCAGGATAGGGCTCCTCCTCGACTCGCCTGGGAAGGGAGTTTCACAAGATCTGTGTGATCCACCAACCCTCGCTGCCGCCTCCACACTGCTGTATCACAGGCCGCGTACGTAGCCACCGCCGCCCAGCTAATTGTACTGCGCTCGATGCAAGTAAAATGTGGGTCATTTCTTCTTGTTTTGTGTTTGAATAGGTAAGAAAGGTTTGCCGTTCGCGTGCGGAACGTACCTGCACGTGCAAGAGGTGCGATGCAGCCTCCTGACTAAGACCAGCGCTGGCCAGCGCAGTGGCCTGGCCAAGCAACCAGAAGCTTCCGGATCGAGCGAATGCTCTGATGTGCTGTTTGGCAACAGTAACGACTCGCCTGGCACGACTGAGCACGCCACCCCTGACTCGGTCCCCGAGGAGGACCAGTGCCGCCTTCCCACATCCAAGAACAAAGGAGCCAACGTTGAGGATCTCGTCAACGTCAGATCATCAAAGGGACTTTCACCTGTGGCCCACCAGATGTTGTCCCCTGACCTCCGGAGGACAAAGAGGCTCCTCGACCTATCGCACCGAACCACTCCCACAGAGCAGGGCCCTAAACACGAGGACTTGACCCAGCCATCCAGCAACCCCCCGCTCAGCCTGGAGGCCCTGGGGCTGACATCGCTTCTCAAAGATGACAGCTTCCGTGGAGGCCACCGCGATGTGGCGGCGCTCAGGGTGACCGCGGGAGAGCTGATGAGGGCCAGCCACGTCGTGAAGGCCAGAAGCCAGGCCTGCAGCAGCGTGGCGATGGCAATCAACCTGGCCACGCTCACCGTTTGGGACGGGAGCTCCGGCGGGTCGCGGCCAGCCGAGGAGCGGCCCGGCTGCGGCAGCCCTCGCCTCCTGCCGGCGCCCGTGCCCGCGTCCCACCATCAGCCGCTTCACGGCAGAAACTCCACTCGGCAGCAGCAATGCCGCAGCCTCCCAGACATCTCCTCCGTGGCCTCTCCTCCGCACGAGCGTGGCCCGCACCCGCGTCTACGCGACGGCGAGGCGGCCGCGCCCGGGGCCCCCGCCGGCCGTCGCGGGACACTCAAGTACGCGTCGAGAGGCGACGCCGACCGAGCTGGCGGCCCCTCGGAGGAGAAGGCCGCGGAGGCGCTTAGGCGCGCGCAGCCCTCCGCCACGTGGAGGGAAACGCCTGCGGCGTGTCGGGGCAGGGAGGAGCACGGCGGTGGCAACGGTGGGAACCAGCAGGTGGTGAGTGCTCCTGGCGAGGCTCCGTTCGCAGAGGGCCACACGCAGGCCCAGGCAGCTGAGGTGACGGGCCAGTTCCGGCCAGAGAGGGGCTCGATGGTGTCGCCGGATGTTGTGTTGTACTGTGTTCGTGACCTGTAAGCAGCCTTTGTCCAATTCCTGTGAGCTTTAGCGTCACACTCCAAAATATATATTTAAGCAAAATTGGGTTGTAGATGGAACACCATTCGCAACGTGCACACTTGCGTAGGCCTAGCTTCAAAGACAAATACGTTCACAATTTTTCCTCCCGCAACAATTTTCATGATCAGCCATGATCTATCCACTGTTGAATGAAAGCTTTAGCATAACACCCACTCACTCATCTGCTCTGTCACACACTTACTCACCCCACCCACTCACCCACTCACATAACTACCTGCCCATTTGCTGCTCACCCACCCACTCACCCACACAACCACCCACCATAGCGCAGGTCACCTCATTTATCTTTATGCTTCTTCCCTCGCACTGCTCCACTCTAGAATCCCCTCCTCCCGTTATCTCCCCCCCCCCCCCCAAGCTCTTACAACAATAACCTCGCTCAATTACTCAACTCCTACTCAACTCTTACCAATTACAACTTCCGTAGTGCTGCTGGCTGCTGGCTGCTGGACGTTTAAACACCCTTGGGCCTCCTGCTCATCAACTGTGTCCACATAAATCACAGTCTGGCTGTGGCGAGATGTTATCTCCATGGAGGAGGTGGTGGCTTTGTTCTCGAGCCTGATGCCTGTATATCTGGAGTTTGCATGTTCTCACCAGAGTCGAAAGGATTTTTCTCTATGTCCTCCCTGCACATTTAGAATCATGCGTGTAGAGTATTTGGCTGCTATACATTTTCACGTGATAAGCCACTTTGTTGAGCTATCATTTGTGATAGCCAGGTCACTCAGAAAAAGAGCTGTGTAGCTCGGTGGACCCTTCCCGGTAAAATAAAAAATTGTTTCGTTTAGACTTTCCACTATGTGATACTGATTTTATCTACCTCGGGGGCATGATGGGCAGAGTTGGTCCCCGGTTGGTATTGGAACTTGCACTGTTTTGATTGAGTGGATTGCTCCAAACAGAGTCATGCCGAGGCAGGCTTTACAATGCCGCGAGGCTTAACCGTGACCTGTTACAGCTGAGGGATAAACAGTGCAAGGGTTTGATTTGTGTTTCGGTGGAAATTTGATTTTCGCTAGAGTGTCGTCGGAGGTAGAAATAGGCCAAGTTGGCAAAAAAATATTAATTTTCTTTCACTAAACATTGACAGGACCTGTGTCTTATTGAAACTCACGAGTTGGGTCCCTCACCTTCTGCCAGGCAGCGTGATCTTCCCCATCATTTCTCCCCGGTGCTATTTCAGCGATGGTTTGTTGTATTTGCTCTCGTTGCTGTTCACATTCCCACCCTGTGATAGAATAAAGTCTGAGACTGAGCAAGCCTTGATAAAAATGGTCCCTCGTGGCCAATGCTACTTGCTTGTGTCTCCAGCTGTTGCGTCTCGGCGAGTGACCCCCCCCCCCCCCCCTTGTTGTCCCGTGTCTCTCAGGCCAAGCGACGTCCTCTCCAAATGCCGCTGAAGCTGCCTCCGGTGCTCCAGTGGCAGACAACCGGCTCTCTCGTCCACCTGCAACGGACGATTTGACCGCATGGGGAAGCCTCGCAGCCACGGGACACGGGGGGTGCGGGGACAAACACCGAGTCGGTGCTCTGCCGCATCGGTCACCTGACCGGCGCTCCGGTTGAACATCGGCATCTTTCACTCTCTCAGATTTGTTGAATTCCCGTAGTTGCAGAACACCCAGGGTGTCAGAGGTGCCCAGCCTGCGCTCCACGGATCACGGTTGGTCCGCAAGGCGGTGAGACTGTGGTCCAAGGAAACTTGTTGCATATGATATTATTTTTATATTTAGCTTCTTGTCCTTCCCCCGCACCTCCGATTAGCACGGTCGGCTGTGTACGGTGCGAAAGAAGTTAATTGTACATGCATACATGCGTTCTTTTCACAAAGCACCGGATTTATTTCTCCAGGAAAGACTGCGAACCACTGATCTACAGTGAGGGAAAAAAGTATTTGATCCCCTGCTGATTTTGTACGTTTGCCCACTGACAAAGAAATGATCAGTCTATAATTTTAATGGTAGGTTTATTTGAACAGTGAGAGACAGAATAAAAAATAAAAAAAATCCAGAAAAACGTATGTCAAAAATGTTATAAATTGATTTGCATTTTAACGAGGGAAATAAGTATTTGCACCCTCTGCAAAACATGACTTAGTACTTGGTGTCAAAACCCTTGTTGGCAATCACAGAGGTCAGACGTTTCTTGTAGTTGGCCACCAGGTTTGCACACATGTCAGGAGGGGATTTCGTCCCACTCCTCTTTGCAGATTTTCTCCAAGTCATTAAGGTTTCTAGGCTGACGTTTGGCAACTCGAACCTTCAGCTCCCTCCACAGATTTTCTATGGGATTAAGGTCTGGAGACTGGCTAGGCCACTCCAGGACCTTAATGTGCTTCTTCTTGAGCCACTCCTTTGTTGCCTTGGCCGTGTGTTTTGGGTCATTGTCATGCTGGAATACCCATCCACGACCCATTTTCAATGCCCTGGCTGAGGGAAGGAGGTTCTCACCCAAGATTTGACGGTACATGGCCCCGTCCATCGTCCCTTTTGATGTGGTGAAGTTGTCCTGTCCCCTTAGCAGAAAAACACCCCCAAAGGATAATGTTTCCACCTCCATGTTTGACGGTGGGGATGGTGTTCTTGGGGTCATAGGCAGCATTCCTCCTTCTCCAAACACGGCGAGTTGAGTTGATGCCAAAGAGCTCCATTTTGGTCTCATCATGTATATGTGCTTTCTTGAGCAGGGGGACCTTGCGGGCGCTGCAGGATTTCAGTCCTTCACGGCGTAGTGTGTTACGAATTGTTTTCTTGGTGACTATGGTCCCATCTGCCTTGAGATCATTGACAAGATCCTCCCGTGTAGTTCTGGGCTGATTCCTCACCATTCTCATGATCATTGCAACTCCACGAGGTGAGATCTTGCATGGAGCCCCAGGCCGAGGGAGATTGACAGTTCTTTTGTGTTTCTTCCATTTGCGAATAATCGCACCAACTGTTGTCACCTTCTCACCAAGCTGCTTGGCAATGGTCTTGTAGCCCATTCCAGCCTTGTGTAGGTCTACAATCTTGTCCTTGACATCCTTGGAGAGCTCTTTGGTCTTGGCCATGGTGGAGAGTTTGGAATCTGATTGATTGATTGCTTCTGTGGACAGGTGTCTTTTATACAGGTAACAAGCTGAGATTAGGAGCACTACCTTTAAGAGTGTGCTGCTAATCTCAGCTCGTTACCTGTATAAAAGACACCTGGGAGCCAGAAATCTTTCTGATTGAGAGGGGGTCAAATACTTATTTCCCTCATTAAAATGCAAATCAATTTATAACATTTTTGACATGCGTTTTTCTGGATTGTTTTGTTGTTATCCTGTCTCTCACTGTTCAAATAAACCTACCATTAAAATTATAGACTGATCATTTCTTTGTCAGTGGGCAAACGTACAAAACCAGCAGGGAATCAAATACTTTTTTCCCTCACTGTAGGCCAAACATTCCACCCGTTAACTTAATTTGTTTCCGCCTTGCAGTACCCCTGAACAATATCGCTGTGGGGCGATCACGTACAAGTTACACGTGACTGTAGTCTTATTACCAAGTGGAAGTAACTGTAACTCCTTATCATTATGAATGTGCAATCAAGGTTACAATTTCCTTCGATATATCGGTTAATTATGGTTGTATGATTACTATGTATTTACTTGAAATCTTTTTTTACCCCCAAAAAATTATTGAACGTGGTCAACGACCGTGTCTGCAGCGTGAGTTAACGCGGGGACTGTGGCACAAACAAATCATGGCACAGGGCCCACAGCCGTCACGGGGCGCTGTCGTTACTTAGGCTGTCTAGTCCGAATACAATAATTCCCTTGTCATTCACGAGGGACACGTCCCAGAGATGCTCGCGAACAACAAATTTCACGGATGATGATGTTGGCCTCGTGAATTACCTTAAAATGAATACTCTTTGGGTCTTTTGGTAAAGAAAGACCCAAAGAGTATGAATTTCTGCAGTCACGAAAGCTTGAAGTCAATATTTAAAAAAAAAATAGATTCTCATCACTTTCTCGCTCATCACTTTACCTCTTCACTTTATTTCATCACATTCTCTCTCATCACGGATAGCAAGTTCGTGAAGAATGAGGGGAACACTACATGCTTAAACACAGCGTCTGGTGATGCTGTTGCGTTGGCAGTGGTACACGAGCAGAATTAACGAATAACAAAAAAATAACATGGGACCTTTTTAGCCAGTCTAACACCGTTTTGAGACTAGGCTCAAAAGAAAGCTGTCTCTGGTGTGGACCAATCAGTTCCAAAGACAATGCCACATATATTATCAGAGTATGTTTTTTGTTTGCATTCTCACCACAAGTATTGTGGTTAGTGTAGACATGATTCCTTGTAAAATGTTTCAGTTTGGTGTTTTAACATCTTAACACCTGTTTTGTTGCCAGAAAAAAGGGGAAAACCTATTCTCATATTAAAAAATAAGAATATGTTTTTCCCTGTCTGGCAATAAAACAGGAGGTATTAAATTATTCAAATACCAAATAGAAACCTTTAGTAAGGAATCGAGTCTGCATTAACCACACACGTTACTTGGGGTGAACATGCAAACAAAAACGTGCTCTGATAATTATATATGGCATTGTCTTTGAAACGGATTGGTCTACACCAGAGACAGCCTTCTTTAGGTCTCACTACCAGTGTCAGAGCATGTTTGTGTTTGCATGTTCACTACCAGTACTGTATGTGGTTAATGCAGACTCGATTCCTTGCTGAAGGTTTCTATTTGGTGTTGGACGTCTTAATAACTCCTGTTTTATTGCCAGAAAGGGTAAAACATTTTTAGGTTTTCAACAAAAAATGAGTTTAACACGTAGGCTTCCGCAACCAACATTGCCTCTGTTGTCCACGTGACAACTTATTGAATCTGGCTGTGTCGTCGGGTGGAGGAGGGGGTATACGACACACATTGGCATTTTACTCGCACGGGGATCTGATGCAAAAAATAAACTGCGAGTCGTAACAAATGAAACCCCACCCATTCGTCAACAACACCGCGTGGCCTTACGCACAGAAATGCATAACAGGCGACGTTTTGTGCAATCGCCGTTCTTCCCAGCACACAGAGACACATTTCTACGCGCAATGAAGAAGGGTAATTGCCCGAAACGTCGCCTGTTATACATTTTCTTTATTTAAGCCCACAATCTTGACGAATGTGTTGAGCTTTTAATACGTGCT